TGTAGCTTTGGTTTCTGCATTCTTTGTATCATCTTTCTTTAGGATTTCTATTTCACTTTCATTTAGGTTCATCTTTGCTAATTTAATTACTACCGCTTCTTCCTTTTTTTTTGTTACTGATTTTTCTGTATTATCTGCACTTTCTTATTTTCTCTTAAGTGATTCTTCTTTGAAATTTGTTTCTTTATTTAATATATCAATTTCTATCTTTGTTGAGCTACAAAAATCACCAATTTTTCTTCTTTGCTTTTTATAGCTCTTTCCTTTTTCATACTTGAAGTTACTTCTGTTACTTTTCCAATGAGTATACATTCTTCTGCTAAGAGCTTTTTACCTTGGTCCACTTTACATAGTACCCAGTTGTGTAATTCTATTGCACTACAAATTATAGTTATAAACTCTGGGTTTTGGTACTCAAGATACTTTGCTATATTTCGATCTATCATTAGAGTATATTTTTCTTGCTCTGTATAAACTTCATAGCACTTGCTTTGTGAAGCTTGAGCAAAATCTTTAATTAGTGCTAAATCCATAGCCCCGTTAGTATATATTCAAAAGTCTATCTTTGTATTTTTAGAATGTTACTTGACTTTCTACTCGAATTTTCCAGAATATCATAATAGTTTGTTTATACTGGGCATGTGGTGATTAGCTTTGTTTATTTTGTTTTGTTTGTTTGTATGCGTGTTGTTTGTTTTGTTTATTTATACGTAGTATAGTGATCTACAATTCAGGGTCTAGCTCAATCCCTAAAAAGAACAGAAAAAATTTTTACAAAGGAATTTTTTTTTGCAAAAAATTTGTTTTCAAGCAAAATATCTCGTAAAGTAAATCTTTAGAGTATTCTGCTACTCTAGCAAAGTATATGTATTTTTGTATAAGCTTCTTTTTTTCTTAGACTGTTTTATATTGTTTTCTAAGTCTAAAGTGCTTTGTTTTAGTTGTTTTTCTTCCAGCTTAATTTGATGCAGATAATCAGCAGAAAGAGTTGTGTATAAAAGAAGTATTATTTATTAACCAATTTTTATAAATAATAAAAATTTTTTCTTTTTTAAATAATTACAATTATATATAAACACATATGTATAACTATTAGCATAATATTTTGGCTAGTGCTTAGCAAAAACATAATTATTAAGTTTTTAAATCTATTAATTTACAATATTTTGTATTAAATACAAATTATATTTTAGTATATATATAAATCTAACAGAATCTGATCTTACTTTAGACTTCGTAGTAACTAATATGAAGTTTAAAGTCAGATTATAGTAAACATAGATTTTATAATTAAAGCATAATACTGTACTATAAATCAATAATAATCAAGTTTTGTTTGATTTTGCTAAGCACTAATTTTGGCACCCACTTCTTGTTAAAAAAAATTAGATAATAAATAATACTTCTCTAATTCTAAAACATATTTTTAATAAAAAAATATAGCCAATATAATTTTATATTAATACTAAAAAAAATATAATTTAGATCAAATTTAGTTAGTAAGATATAAACACTAATAAATTTAAATTGCAAATACAGTTAACTCTTTTAAATTAATCTTTTCAAAATAATAATCTGTCAAATCTGATAAAAAATCAGTTTACCAAGTTCATTTTTGTTATATAAATCTAATAGTTTATAATATTTTTAAATCTACAAACTAATACAAAATTTGTTTACTATGCATAATAGAAATAGATCTAGTAAATTGAACTTTATTAGATTTAACAGTTAATAATTTTGAGATCGATTTTGGAAGTATATAAATTTCGTTATATAGAATATTAACAAGATTTAATATATAAAACTTAAAAGATAGTTTATAAATAAAATTTTTAAGGTATATATAAAAAAAAAAGCAATTTTATATTTACATTATATAAATTTAATTAAAATCAATATAATATTACTACAGTTCACTCTCGTTATAACATAGTGATCGGGCTAAGAAATTCCGTCCATTATAATGAATATCTGCTATAGCGTTATATAGTATAATAATAAAAATTTTAAATTGTTCCAGAGAATTGCTCTGTTATAATGAGGTATCCACCCATAACAGAGTCCGTTATAATGAGGGTGAACTGTAGAAGCATTATTAGATAATTTAGTAAAACAGTTATTAAATAACTTTGTTTAAAAATTTTAACTTTTAAAAAAAATAAATTGAAATTGAATTTTTGTGAAAATAGTGCAGCCAATTTTGTTCGTACTTTATTTGTTTGCAATTTAAAAAAAAAATTATAAAATTTTAATTGTACTAATATGAAAAAAATTGCAAAATATAATTATAAATAAAGTTGTAAACAGAATATTTGATAATAATAATTATTATTATTATTATTATATATATATTATATATTATTTTAATATTACAAAACTATTGTTATACAATTATACTGTAAATATTTAAAGTATTCAGTAAAATTTTTAAGGAATTCGATTAGAGGATAGAAAAATAAGTCTAACACAATCAAGTTAAAAGTAACAATTTTGAAGGGTTATTTTTGTCTTTATTTAACCTAGAATGGGATGTTGCAGTACAACAGGTTTTTTTTTTTTTGCCTCAGAATCTCGACACCCAAAATCCCGAAAACAAGGTCTTGATAAGGTCCCGATAGTACCAAATTTCCGAATCCAGGCAATAATAAGATCCTGATGATATCAGAATCTTAATATTGTCGAGATTTTGTTTTCGTGATTTTGAGTATCGGGATTCTGAGGTAAAACCGTATAACAGTATAATAAGGGTAATGTAATATGTTACTGTTCTTCAAGATAGAACTGTGCCTTCAATTGAGTCCTTAGAATATGTATTTGAGAAAAATCATTTCATAATGATAAATGTTTATAAGCAAAGATTTTTTCTTTTTAATAAAAGAATGACGTAACACGACCTCAATACAGTAAAGTTAGAGCGACTTTTAATGACATCAGAAAATCAACGAAATGCAAATTGAAGATCAAAATTTCGGTCTTGGCATTTTATAGTTATTTTTTTTCAATCAAAATGACACAGTTAGTCACTCTTAATTGAGACTAGTGAAATGATATCTCTCAATCGAAAATAATGGATTTACTTAATTGATAGGTTGTCAATTTTTTAATTCGCAAAATGATTTGTTCCCATTGACAGATAATCAACTTCGTTGTAAACCTACTTTATTTCCTAAATTATATATTATTTATTCTTTTTTCTATAATTGTATTCATTCACTTCATTTTTTATTTTAATTGATATATGTAAGGTTATCGTTATAGAATAACAAATATTAGTTTTTCATTGAGTAGGAAATTGCTTCGAACAATTGTGCTGCAGATTGTCAGGAGAACATATTAGCTTAAACAATACTTTTAAGGAGTTGACCTTCGATTAAACTTGATTCGTTTTTATCAAAATGGCATTTTTGTACGCAGTTGCAAAAAAAAAAAAAAAAAAATTTTTTTTATCACAATATATATAATTATATAACAAACATTCGGTATATACCGAGCTTTTTTCTCATGTTTGAAAACTTAATTGATCTGCATTATACATACTATGAACGCTTGGCAAATATGTAAAAAGGTTGAGTCAATGCTAATGCAGGTATGTAATTAAGAGAAATTGCGGGCATTCATCAGATGTCTACGCGCCATGACTAAACCTTTTTAGTTTGGTTTAAACTATCCATAACAATTGCCTATAATAATTACTATATAATAACTGTAATATTCTATATATATATATAAACATATATATACCACATATACTATTATATTATATATATATATATATATATATATATATATAAATTTATGTATCTATACTATATACATTATTATATAATATATATATATATATATTATATATATTATATATATATAAATATATATATTTATACAAATATATATTATTACTAATAAAGTGTCCAATCGTTGTTTGCAGTCCAAAAAAAAAAAAAAAACCAATAAAATTATCCTTGAATGAAAAGCATCACGATATCACGTTCATATATCTAAACAATCTAATCTTGACATAAATTGAGTTAATAAAATTACCTAATTTATAAAAAATTGTAAATTCTTTTACGTATATTTCGTGATATTTATTGTAATACTTAACATAGACCTATTGACATTGAAGCCGGAATAATTAATATTAACAAAATTTAGGATTATCACTATCGAGGAATAAATATCTATATAGTACGTTTGTTTAATAATGTACACTAAAGGTCAAAGTAAAAAAAAATACCAGTTTTTTATTCATCATTTTACACTATGAAGATTCGGAGGAAGAAATCCTAAAACGCCCAACAATCGATAGAATATGATCTGTATGACATCAAAATATTTTACTTTAGTAAGGCTTGTGATACACAATTTACCAACAAATTTATATTTAAACACGAAATTCAACTTGATTTTGTTGTGGAGGTTACGTAATGCATACTAAAAATTGAACCGTTTCCAGTAGCGCCCGGTATAAACAAAAATTATATGTATTACGTATATTATGCAATTTTTTGCCTATCTACGTATTTATTTATATAACGATATATATATGAATAATTAACTGGCCATTATCGTTATCGTAGAATTGGAGTCTTTTTAATTGTTTAAACTACCGGGTTTGGGATTTCTTTTTTAAGTGTACTTTTGAAATCCTGGCTTATTGAAAAATTGTCACATTATATTTTTTTTATTTTTGTAAATCAATATTTTGGCATAAAAAAAAAAAAAAAATTTTTTTCTCGGCATATCGGTATATAATTTAATTTATAAATGAATCTTTAATTTACTCCAAATTTACCAGAAGCATTTGTAATTAGAAGTTTATATTTTATAACACTTTAACGATAGCATTCAAAAAAATTTGTATTATAAAAATTTATCACATCATTGTTCGGTATGTGAATTTTTAATATATAATAAACTCATGATTAAGGTATGCTATTGATCCTTTGTTATTAATAAGTATATGCGTTTACATTTCTTTGATGCATATATGCGTAGTCATGAACACATGCGAAAATTATTCATATTCTACTTCCTCGGCACCTTTTACATTCTATCACTCCTCATCCATATCAGCAACAACAACCGCACAATCAAATAATTCAATTCAACAGTATAAACATTCACTTTCATTTTCTCAACAAATATTTAAAGGATTAAATAATTCAAATTTACAATCAAATTTACAATCAAATTTACAATCAAATTTACAAAAATGTTTATTCATAATAGTTCCTACAGAAATTTTCATATTAATATGTTCTCATTTAACACCATGGGATTTAATATCACTTTTAAAAACTTGTCATAAATTTCATGATTATTTATGTTCAACTATATCTTCAAATACTCAATTAATTTGGAGAACATCAAGATTAAATACGATATTCTTTCCTAAAATTCCTCCTCCATCAGGACTTAATGAAAGAGAATATTGTTGCATATTAATGCTTGAAAAAGGTTGTCAATTTTGTGGTAGAAAAGGTTCTAGGGATGTACGAATTTATTGGACATTTCGGGTTAGATCATGTTGGGATTGTTTAATGAATCGAACTGTTTGTGTTGAAAGGTGAGTCTATTGATATTATTAAAAGAATTTTATTAAAATAATTTATTAATTAAAATTAAATATATATATATATATATATATATATATATTAAAAAAAAAAAAAATAGTGGAAATGAAATTCCTGAATATGCGAGTGGTTTACCATTTACTAAATTCAGATTAAATGGAATGTATGGTTCAGAATACATGGTATTCTGGGCTGATTCCTTAAAACAAGCGAAATATGAATTCTCAAACCATACTTGTAGATTTTTGCCCAAGTTCCTTAGTAGTTAATCCGTACTATTGTTATAATTTATAGCTATTTGACGCTATAAAAAACCATATTCAAAACATCTTTAGTTTAACTTTTTTTGGTTTTTTTTTAACTTTTTTAGTTTTACTGGTTGTTTCACGAAGCTAGCAGTTACGTATACCTAGTCTTTTAGGAAAAATAAACAGTAAAAAAAAGATTGTAAAATTGTCAAAATTTTTTTTATTACCGCCAAAATCATTCGAATGTTTATCACTATACGTAATTTTACCATATATTATGACATCATTATTGCATCATAAAATTCTAATAAATTATTTTATAAATACTGTAACAAATTTTTTTTTATGAAACATACTTAATTTTTTTCAGAAAATGTCAAATTTATATCCTGAAGACATCTTAAATGATCCGCACCGAGCTGGATGGGTTGGTGCTTCAATTATGCCAAGTAAATGCAAGAACTTACCCTTTTTTCCATAAAAGATATAGGAATATAACAGTTTTATTAATTATTATTATTATTTTTCTTGTTTATACACAGGCCCAATTACTCGGTTTCCCTCAGACCAGTCTATTCCCCAAATAGATCCATGGTCAACAGAATCTCATGAATTTCATAATAATCCTTTTTCTTCTAAAATTGATACGCCTGCCACTGAAATATCACTTTTTGAATTACCACCACAAGAAAATTCTAAGGTTGAATTCGAGAATCCCTCCTTGGCACATGGAGCTAAAGAAGCTATTATTGGAAAGATTAAAGTTTGTGTGCATCTCTTTTTTCTATTTTGAATTTTTTTTTTATAAAAATTTTAATTTTTTAACGCGTATATATATTTTATAATTAGGAAACAATTGGTAAAATAACGCGTAAAGATTATTTAAGAGAATCTGGCAGGGATCAAAAAATATGGGGAAAACGCGAATTTAAAGCTGCTAAAAAAGCCGAAGGTGCCACGAATTTTAGTCGAAAGTCAAGCGTTCGTACAATTTAATAATTGACAGTGTCAAATGTACAATTTATCCGTATAATATGTTACGATACTTAAAGGAAAGGAAAGGCATATAATATTTATTTAGCATTTAATTAATACCTAATATCTGCATGTATGTATATAGTCCTGCTCTTTAAATCGACATCCTAGCATGTCAGCATCTATATATATATATATAATAGCATATAAGATTACGTATTCATTACGTCATGTTCACGTGATAATATTTATTATTCTGTTTACAAGTGACAATTAAAAATTAATAATAAAAACTATAAAACAACATTAAAACTAATTATTACAACTATTAAACAATTAATAAAATTATTATCGTTATATTAAAATTAAATTAATTCCACCAAATCATCCTTCGATTTGCTAAAATTGTTGCCAAATCATCAGGTAATTTGTAAGGATATATACCATGCCAAAACCAATGATTTGACCATTTTATCAAGAAAGTTCGTAAAATTTTTATATCTAATTCAATGCAAATATCCTCACATCTTTCAGATCCTTCAGAGTAATTTTGGTACCAGTTATAATGGTTTGAATGAATATGCCGTTTAACATCAGTATAATTATATAATATTGTCGAATTATCTACATAATTTAAACTATTACTCGACCTTAAATTGAAATTCGAATTCAAATTACCACATAAACTGCATCTAAACATTTCACCATTACCAAGCTCATGCGCTAACGCATCCCTTACAGTTTTAATTCTCATACATAAAACATCCTCGATAAATTTTAGCACAAAGACAGCATCCTCAGCCTGTTTCACGCATAATGTAGCTTCTGACATAATTCTAGGTACAAGTACTTTATCCAAAAATTTGTCATCCCATGGAATCCTTGCATCATTATTATGATAAGGAGGAGACTTATAACTAGGACAATATGGTATCCAATAAATAGCAGGACGTTTATATAAAGGTGAATAGACTAACCTTTCTTTAATTTGATTATAACGTTTTGGAATTATTCTTCGTTCCATCTCAATAATTCGATATTCTTCTAACATTTTATTTTTTATTGAAGTATTATTTACATCTGTAATATCA